AAATTTATTTGTTCACAACAACACGCATATATAATAACACTGAATACAAATATAATTCAACAAATTTAATATTTTACTTTTCAAAATTTAAATTTGAGTCAAATAATATAGGGACAGCATGAGTAAATTTAATGATCTAAAATATTTTATTTAGATAACATGAATTAAATTTACATTTTACTCGTATTACCAAAAAAATATATAAGTATGACTTTGTAAATTTAATGGTTACTATTTAAGTCATGATCAAAATTTAATTATATTATTTATAAATTGTTTATATCATATTTAAAAATTTAAAAATTACATGAATAAAAATTTACCAAATCAAAATATATAAATTAAATGCAATAATATAATAATTAATAAATAATTGTATAAAATGTTATAAAAAAGAAAGAAAAAGAAAAGGGCCAAGCATGCCTTCCTTGGGAGGCTTTCTTGGGCCTTGGCCAGTAGAACCTTCCCAAAATGATGCATATTTATATTTTTGTTTTGAATTATATATTTTAGTTTTTTAAAAAAAGTCTTTTAAAGCGTATCTTATAAAATGTGTCTTCTACTTATGTGACGAAAATATAAATATACATTAGATTAACATGAAAAAAAAGAGAGATTATATATATATATAATATACAAAGTTTTTCCAAAAAAGAAACACACACGGTATACGTATAGAAATACGTAATTATATGAGCATGAAGGTCAAATGTGTAATTATATGAATTTTCAAATTTATTAAATTAAAATTAAATTGATAAAATAAATAAATAACGAAGATCAAATATGTAGTTATATCATTTTTCAACTATCTCTTCAACGATGAGTTTATTTAATATATACTCTCATCGTCCCACTAAACGTATCTATTTTGATTTTTAAAATTGTCTAGTAAATAAACAATAACACTTGTACTATAAAGAGTAGTACATATCATATTCGTGATCTCTGCGTATGATTTTAGCTCGAGAGCATTACAATGCACGGCATACCGGATAGACCCGACACAGGCTATCCTATCATATCCTCGTTCTCGTGGCGATAGTTGTAGTCTTGTAGATGTTGTCACAACTGTTCCATCGGAAACCATGAACTCAGTGACGGGCTTGTTTTAGCCCCGGCCTTCATGGAGTTGTCTTGTATATGAACGTTTTCCCGGATTATATGTAAGCATTGAGTCCAAGAATTCGTTTGGATCTATTCTTTCTTTTTATCGAGTTAACTCGGTTTCTTTAATTCTTTCTGAATTACGCTTGCGAATTTCACAATACTTTAATAAAATGTTTAAAAATCTGGAAAAAAAAAATATCTGATAATCATAAAAGAAATAAACATTATTTCTATTTCTTTGCTAAAAATAAGAGAAAAATGTAAACTAATTATTTTAATCCTTAAATTTTTATGTTTATATATTTATTTATTTATGTATTAATCTGAGTAAATACAAGATGTTATTTATTTAAAGATAGTTTTTATCCTTTTGACATTAAACGTTCACACCCTTAGCATCTATGGTGCTCGAATTCGAGTCATCAATGAATAATAATAATTCCTTTACCATGAATGTCACTTGTTTCGTGCGTGTTTTTTGTTCTTAATGTAACATTCTCAATACCGGGTTAGTGATCAAATTGTAAAACTTCATAATTTGGTGATAAAAGTAGAATAGTTGAATAGTTCAATGATTTATTTGAAAATATTTCCTGAAAGTTATTAGTAATTATCAAATGAATTAAAGGGTAAAATGGTCATTTGACAAGAAAGATATTTTTCTTTCTTTGATAAATATGAATCACGTGGGGGTGTGGGGGAAGAGTTATCTGAAAACTCTCTTAATCTTCTTTCTTCTTCTTCCTCTCCTCCCGTATCTCCAAGCTCAAAGGTGAGTTTTCTATTTAGTTAATTTCTGGTTAAATTTTAGGTTGGGTTATGATCATTAGATGATAATTAAGCTTAAGGAAAGCTTAATTTGTTCTAAACCAACAAGATGAAAGGTATAGAAGAGATTAAAGAAAATGGGTTTTTAGATGAATTTCTGAAAAAGAGTTAATAAGTGAATTTTGAGAAGAAATTTTACTTGTCATCACTAAGAATAAGAGTTTTATGAAGTTAGAAAGGATTAATAACAAAGTTGAAAGTTTAGTAAGATTCTTAATTTTAATAATCATGATGAGATATGGAAGATAAATATGGTTTATATAGATATAAGTTGGTTTAAGTAATGGTAGTTGAGTTTAATGGCATGATAGGGGTTAAAATAGAAGAATTGAGTCAAGAGTTGATGATTTTCGGACTTAAAAAGTGATTTTCTGGGCAAGGGTTATCGATACCCATTCAATAGGTATTGATACACTCTTAAACAATTTATAGATTTCAATAGGGGTACAAATACCCTAGGGGAGGTACCGATACAACCCTAAGAGAAAATGGAATTAAGCTTTTCGTTTAGTCCAAGAAATGAAAGTAACACTTTCTTTAGTTCAAGAAAGGAAAGATTAGAGTATATTAATTGGAATATTGATATGGATATATGTTTTGTTATGTAGATATATAACGTAATCCCGTTTCGGAACAATTAAAGAATTAGGATCAAGTCAAAGCAAGCAAGGCTAAGGTGAGTGCAATTTAATTGTACTTATGTTATTGATCAAACATTAGCTTGTGATGAGCCAATGACGGAGTTACTACGGTAAGAAGTGACTCTTAAAATGTTATATGATTGATGTGATTCTTATGTGTGCATGAGTACATGAAAATAGGTATATGTTATTATATGTGACATGACCTATAAGATTATATGAATATGCAATATGTGATATATGAACATAAGAGATTAAGTGAATGAATATAGATGACTTATATATGATGATATAAGAGTAAGATATGAATTAAATGATATGAGTTATATGAGAAATATATGTGAAAAAGATATGATATATATATGTTTATGTGATTACATGTAAAGTGATATGAACTATGTGCCATATGAATGTGGAATAAGCTATGTGATAAGGACATAGAAAATGAAATGAATATGTGGCAATGAGTTATGAGAATATAGGAGAAAGTTTATGATATAAGATCAATGATTACATGTACATGTGATACGTGACAGAAAAGAAGAGATATGTGTTTATAAGAGAAATGATGTGAATATGTGAACTGTTATAAATGATAATGCCCATGTTATGTGATATGAGAGCTAGTGGTATATTTGGCATGCCAAGAGTCGAGGGATTACCTATGTTCTTCGGGACATATGGACAAATTATTATACGAGCTATGGTGACAGCATAAGTGTGCACAACCTCTATGTACTCACATATCTTTAGTTCTCATCAATGTATCATGGGCTAATAAAGAAATAATAACAAATACAATATATGTGATGGATATGCTTTTATATGATATGATAATATTAATTGTTTATGCATTGATATGAGTATAGTAATATCATATGTTTTCATGCCTCGCTAAGTCAACGACTTAGCGTGTGATCGTTGTACACGTAGGTTTCGAGAAGAGGAAGATTGATAAAAGTTATGCAAGACATGTCAGTTTCTCATTTCCACAGATCAGGTCAGAAAAGAATTGAATAGATTGTATTTTGTAATATTGATTGAGGTTGGCATGTATATAAAGATTTGAATCCGATATATATATTTGAATCGGTTTTGTAAAATCATATGATTGAGTTTTGTAATGTTTTAAACGTATATATGTAAATGGTAAATGTATAGTGATGAACGTTTTAAATTTTATGAGTTTTTAAAAAGTGGAAGAAATGACTGTAGCAAGGGTATCAGTACACTGTAGCAGAGTATCGATACCCATACAACATTCTGGAAAATTTTTAGGATCGATACTGTTCTCGGTGTTGTTCATTACTGTTTACAGTATTGTTCATACAGTTTAATATTATTCATTCCGTATAGTGCTGTTCATTGAAAACATATTTTTTTTCAAATTTGTTATAATGAAATATAATTCAACAATATATGATAATATTTTCTTAATATAAGTCCAAACGTTTTGTTATTTTGTAAGGAAATTGTTTTAAAGAGTCAATGTGACATCTCGGCTTCGTTTCCGGGTCGGGTACGGGTTGGGGTGTTACACTTAAACTCCTCTTTTTTAAAATTATCTAAATTTAACAGAACAATAATACAAGTGGTAGTATCTGTTTTAGATATTTTTAACCATTTCACGATGAATGCTCAAATATCCTACAATTGTTGATGCATGAACCCGAGACCTCTAAGGATACCAATCATCCCTTTAATCATATAAGTAACTTGATTCACGTAGATTTGTCACCTTCTAAATTGTAGATTTTAGGGTAAATTATACATTTAGTACCTAAATTATCAATTTTGGCCCATTTTAATACCTATATTTTCAATTTTTTTAAAATTATACCTAACGTTTAATTTTTTTTATTTCAGTAACCCACCGTTAAACTATCAGTTTTTTTTCCAATTTTGATTCTTTTTAATGCCTAAGTTTTTAATTTTTTTCTTCAAAAGTTAACGTTAAATTTTAAACAAGTTACTAAAATGATAGAAAAACTAAACGTTAAGTATGATTTAAAAAAACGAAAGTATATGTACTAAAATTGACCAAAATTGGTAATTTAGATAGTAAACATTAGTTTACCCTAGATTTTTATGTTTTTTTAACAATGTTACATTGTTACCTTAACTTCCTTTCTTGACGAAATTTATAGTAAGTTAAAATAAAAGTTTATATTACTAAAGGGTAAACTACATTAATAGCCACTGAACTGTTAAAACGTTTTTATTCTGGTCACTACCATCAAAGAAATCTTTTAGAGTGAACAAAGTTGAAAATTCCTTAACGGAAGTGTTTAGATTTGGATAACTAAAGTGAAAGCGTCATAAAAATTCAGTGACTATTAATGCAGTTTAAATATAGACTTGATTCAGTTAAGACTCGGACAAAGAATTCAACTAATGTTCATATATGGTATTTCTTCACATACATGGCGGTTGACTAGCTCTGTGGGATCTGGTCTGTCATCACACATTCTTCTTTCTCGATCTCTACGCTCTAAAAACATGCCTCACGGAACCCTTCAAGTTGTTCTTGTTAGTGCCAAGGGCCTTGAGAACACAGATTTTCTCTGTGAGTTATGCTCCTTTTTCTTTGGTTAATCTGAAATCTCACTGGTTTTTGTTTTTATTTACAGTTTACTCAATTTCAGTGTCATCTGTTAGATCTGGGTACATTTCAATGCTTTTAGCTGTTTTCTGTTACGGTCTCATGACAATTTCGATCGGATCAAGAATTTTTGTCCGATCAGAAGCGATCTGATCAGAATCACATCGGAACTGCATTGACCAATAGTGGTTTAGTTCTTCATGTTTATAAGATTATAGATGTAGATATAGATATTCACATGTCAGATCTGATATAAGTATGTGTTTGGTTTTTCCAAGGAATTTGGTCTAATGCCTTGTGTTTATTGCTTATATCTTCATGTTTGGTGTTTCTGGGAATTGAAAATGTGGGGAACGAGCAGGTAACATGGATCCTTATGTGCTTCTCACTTGCCGAACACAGGAGCAGAAAAGCAGCGTTGCATCAGGTTCGACTTGTGATCAATCTCAATTATCATGATTCAAACTTTGTTCTTAAGACAATAATTTTCTCAGGAAAAGGATCAGAACCCGAATGGAACGAGAATTTTGAATTCAACATCTCTGAAGGTGTTTCGGAACTCAAAGTGAAAATACTAGTTTTCAATCCTAGTTTCTGTTCCAGCAACTAATTATCTTGTTTGATTTCGAACTGTTATCGTGTCTCTTTGAGTTTTATTTTGGTTACTTGTGACACTGGGACATTAGTAATAATTTGTACTCTGAATTGCTAATCACTCGTATATCGGGAGATGCTTATTCGGTAGATTATTGTGCTTAAAATCTAATGGATACCCGAAGCATATTAAAGGAAAAAACAGGAAGCTGTTGACACCTTAGATTATAAAGCAGCCCTATAGCATTTTTAAAAAAGATCAAGATGGTTCAAGGCGACGGTGGATTAACGCCTTTGATTAACACAGCCGACTCTTTAAAACTAGCCTTTACCATTTTACCCTATTCTATGTTCTTATAAAGAAGCATTCCTAAATACAAAAGCCAGAACACCAAGAAGTTAAAAACCAAAAAGATGTCGGCTTCAAAAAGAAATATCTAACCTGAAGTTGACTTTAGATGTCTGGCAGTGACATGCTTCCTTTAGGACAGCTTTATATCTAGGACCTCGCCACCTTGTCCGATAATTTCTTTTTGCCCTTCCTGTAAGATTTTTTAGCAGCAGTAGTGCTGCTTTTAGGTAAGCTAAGGGATGGAGGATTCAAAGGGAATTGTTGTTGCTGAACAGATTGCCCCGTGGGCGGTGCAAAGTTTCCATATCCACCAAAAGATTGGTGGAAGTTACTCTGAAAAGAAAAAGTATTCTCTGCGAGACTAGAACTTGCGAGAATCTTGAAAGGCGACTCGAAGAAAGAATCAGACCAATCAGACCAAGAGCTCCCAAATGGAATTGCTGATGGCTTCCCTGGATTCTTGTCATTCGTTTGTGCGGGAACGGTTTGGTTTTTATGAGGCTCTTTGCTCTTGCTTGATGATTTCACTGTCAAATCCACATATCGAATGGTTTTGCTATCATAAATCTTTCCAGCTGCAAAATCAAGAATTTGTTCATTGGACAAAGACTTTGCCACCAGCTCAGTTGCGTGCCCAACAAGTTGTTTTGAAGATCCTTGTTGCAAACCCGCATCTTTATTTTCATACCCAACTGAGCTAAAAAGAGTTTTCTTACAGCTGCTATGTTCAGTTCTTGTTTCAATTAGACTCTTCTGTTGCTGGACGTTAGCAATGGACGTTTTAACGAGCCCTTCACTGATAGCATCCTCTAATGGTATTGCACCCGTAAGAGTCTTGATTGCGAATTCTAGGCATGGATCGGAGCAGAAGAAATGTTGTACTTCGTTGGCAACCTGCTCTTGTTCAAGAACAGCAAGTGGTGTTGAAAATCGATGAGTCGTGTCATGCTCTTTCATCTTCTTGAACTTGCTCGAGTTCTTAGTTTCCACATTGATTCTCTTGCTTTCCATTCTCGTTTTACGTCGATTCTTCTCTTGCAGGACACTCGAAGCTGGAGTTGAAACAAGACCTTCATCGGCAGCATCCTCATGTGGTTGTACCCCACCTTTAAGAGTCTTCATTGTAAGTTCTTGACATTGCTCTGAAGAAAGCAAAGCCTGTACTTCTGATTTACTGTCACTGGTCTTCTCAGCCTCCAACTTTTGTGGCTGCTTTCCGAGATTATCTTCTTCTTCAATCGGCTTTATAATCTTCTCCGTTAGCCCACAATGTGATTTAATTGTTGAAGCATAGGCTTGCTTTGCTACCTCTGGATTGGAATGAACGTTTAACCGCAGATGTGATTTGTCATCTAAAACACATGAACCAATGGCTTCACTTTGGCATGGCTTCACATGTTCAAGGCCACTAGCCACCTGCTTAGAATCAAGCTGATCAAGCTGATTCGATAACCCTTGAGGCAAATCAAGCACTTTCTTATTCTTAGATTCACACGAAATCTTAGAGTCCATGCTGCTCTTCTTTTCCGTTTCATTTTCATCATAGTCATCATTACTTTGTCCTTTCTCGAAGGTCTCGGTATCTAGGTCGGGTAAGTTTCTCCTATCAGATGTCTCCCCACCTGCAGGGAAAAAAATCAGAAATGTTTTGTTTGTAAGCCGCCTCCCGACTCAAATTCTCAAGTTGGTTGGTAACAACTTAAAAGGGTTTATAGTTTTCCGCCTCTCACCTATTGCGAGCTCCCGCCCGTCGGCAAGATGTTTCACTTTCTTCCTTTTAGCTGCTGGGAGTTGCTATTATAAACAGACGACAAGGATAAAATCACTCTCTAAATGCAGAATTCATCATTAATAAAATGATATCGTAATTTCACTTTTGATGTGGCATGCATCATTGGAATTATTTAATTAAATCTAGCATGTGAAAAATTTGACCAAGTGAATTGATAACGGAATCGGATGAAGCTAAACATGGCAAGGAAATACAGAAGCTTCATACAAACTTACTGATTCATCTGCATTAGTTAAAAACCGGCCATCGTTGTCTTTCTTTGGTAAAAAAGCAGTTTCAGCAATCTCTCCAGTTTCTAGATAGCGAAGAACAGTAGTTTTCGAGCGAAAAACATAACTGCTGACTGGATCGGTGTAATACTGTAGCAGTCGTAATTATTACCAATCAACATTCGAAGAATACTATGCATGTTTAAAGGAACTATATGTTTGTAACTCCGCAGCAGTTAGTTCATTGTACTATCAAGGCAAAGCTTTAAGCAACATAAGCACAATAGATTCAGCACAAAATATTTTGGCATGTGTGTACAAAAATCGAAGGCATGAGCCAAGTTGGACTTGTCCAAGTATGATTAAAATCAAATAAAATATTCGGGGACTGCGTGGACTCGAAAGAAATATCATACCAGATATCTTAGAAACGAATTAAATTTCCTAAATGCATAGTCATAAAAGAAAATTGTTAGCTAACAATCTTATTCGTTTATGTGTCGGTAAGAAAGATACAATTCAGATGCCTACGAGACATAGGACAGGACATTGATGCAGTAAGGCAAAAGCTAATCCATGAAAATACCGTATTACGAGTGCACCATGATTCCTATGCATAAAAGAAAAAACAAATTGCATATACCTTGTCTTGTCTTCCAAAAGTTAAACCACTCTTTCGGGTTTTTACCTCCACGAGCCAATCCTTAGGTAGCCAATCCAGACGTTTATTTTCTTTTACAGCAGTCTGTATGAAGATCAAATAAATAGAAGTAAGAAGTGAAGGCTATGAACTTGTTTGAAATGTCGCCTTAATTGATTATCAAGACACGATAGTTCATTCTTTGTTTTATGTTTCCTACTTCAGAGCTTTACTCTGTTAAGATACCCGAATACATCACTGACTTGGAATACAATCCAAATCCAGCTGATGGATTAACATATATCCGCAACGAGAAAGCAGTCTACATGATGATTAGATAAACGAAGGATGAAAGGACGAAAAGTACAGTTAAATAACTAACCACATTTACAACCGCTTGATCGTTTGCAGATGACGTTACATTTTTCCTTAAAGTTGGCACCTTGTAATCACATCGTTTGCTTTCCATTTTGGTATATCGGAGAAGATCATCCTTGGTAAAGAACCTCTGACCGCTTGCCAGATTCACATATTGCTACATAAAGAAAACAAGACATAATACCCCAAAAAAATGTTAATCGATTCGAAGTAAATAGACTTAATATCGAGTTTCTGTCAACATATCATCAAGCATTAAAGCATGAACCAAGAAATCAATGTTTCAGTACCAAGAGACGTCTTCCGGCATAAAAACGACAAGAACATTCCGATGTCTAAAAAGGATCTTTGAACATAACAAAATCGTGCCTTTACCGCCTAGTACCGGCATTCCGAAGAACTCCCCTTTCCATCCAATATATATACCCAAAATGCAAAACCAACAGAATCAAACCTCAATCGGTCCCTTTGGCCTCCGGAACTTTTAAATTCGACGAAAATAGAACCCTCCTCGTTTATTCATCAAACCCCCAAAGTCAACATGCACGAATCCAAAGTTATCACTCGACATCATTTCTTTCACATGCAAAAAACAACCGATCATCGACTAATACAGATTACTGTAATCTTTGATCTTAGTTCTTAAACTTCATCAGTCCATTTTCTCTTTTACTTTACTGAATATTCTTCAGAAAACAACTGATTCTCTCTCAAAATAAAAACTAGAACACACACAAAACTAGCTGAGTAATAATGAACAAACCGTGATTTGGCGACCGGTCTTTTGGAATCTGAACTCTCGGGTCCAGCCAGGGGGAAGCCAGTCCGGTGAAGTTTCTACCATCATTGTCACCGGAGATTAGGTTTACGGTAATCAAACACTTGCTTTTGATTTGTTTGAGGAGGAGTAGTAGACCAGTAGTAGTAGAAGGAAGTGGTCTTTGTGGAGGTTTTTGTATGAGCTTTGGACTTTGGAGTTTGTCTGAAAAGTGAAATGTATCTTACGAGGTGTAACTGAAAACCAGCACGTGGCTTTTTTTCCTCTTAAGATCCATGATAGACTTAAATATAAAATAAGTGTTTTATAATTTTTTATGAATAGGAATTTAACTTATTTTTTATTTATTTATATATATAATATTACAAATGTTATTATTTTAAGTATTCGAGTTATCAAAGAAGTTAAGTTATTCTGTTAAATGATACTTTTCAAAATAAGGTAATTTTGAATTTTTTATTTTAAAAAACTTAAAAATTTATTCTTTTAAAAAAAATTCAAAATTTTCAAAAATCTTAAAAAACATGTCTATTGTCGCCGTCAGTGGTGGATATAAAAATTAAAAAATAGGGGTCCAAAATTTTAGTACTTATTCTAAAAATATTTGGGTATGTAACTTTCCTTATTTTTTTCTATTTTCATTAACAAATCAAACTAAATTTAACACATTTCTTAAAATAATAGGCATATAATGGATCCCCTATGGAGCCATTTACATCTGCCCCTGGCCGCCGTTATTGTGGATTGGACTTCCACCTAATTGTGCCTCCATCGAAGACCTGTTCCTCGACGAACAATTGCCATATAACATCGACAAAATCGCGACCATCGCACAAAACGTACAAACACACGAAACGACGATCATCATGAATTACACAAAGACTCCACAATAAGGACGACATCATTCGACTACGGAGATGACAAGGGAGGTGCTGAAGGTAGTGGTTGTGGTCAAAAACGGAAGCAGAATTAGGGTTAGGGTTAAAAGGATTTTAGGTTTTTTTTAATTTAACAGAAATTATGTTTTTATAATAAATATAATAATATTTTTAATATTTAAAAAATACATAAATTACGAAATTGTGAGACGTGTTACTTAAAAAAGGAAATTAATATCGTTGACGGATCTAGGCACTTATTCGTAAAAGATGATATAATTTAGACACTTATTTTATACCTAATATTAAGTGTGCTGTTTTTCTAATTTGATCTCTGAAATATTTTTTAATAAAAATGTGATTATCGAAGATTTAAAATTTTAAAAAATATATGGACCAAAAGTGATTAAATCAAAGTATAAAGCATAAGTTAATAACTTAGATATAGTATATGGACTAATATAAACATTTGACCTCCATTCTTGTCTACTGATGAAATTAATACGTTTTCCAAATTTTAAATTATTTTTCACTATTTTACCCATAATATATATATACTTGAAAAATCCTAATTCCTAACCTAATTTTTCTCCCTCTCTCCCCAGGCTCATCTCTCCCGCGCCTCCTTGCTGCTCTTCTTCCCAACTGTAGCTGTTGTTTTGTCCTCCGCCGCTCCTTACTTCTCTCCGAACTCCGAACACCGTCTCCGGCCGGAGAAGATTGCGTCAGGACTCGTTCAACGGCAATTCGGCGAGACAACTTCAGATTTGCGTTAGGTGTGTGTATATGTTGATTTACTTCGTTTTGTTTAGCTTAGTATTTTGCTTTTGGCTTAATGTTTCTATTTTCTTAGGATGTTTTTGGTTTTTCAGCTGAGACAAGGTAAATTCTTGAAAAATTATAATTGAAAATGCAGTACCGTAATATTTATGTGGTGTGTCTAAGACATGGAATCTCTTGTAACCATCATAGAAATTATTTATGAAATGCGTTAGAAAAGTGGGATCTCTGATTTGATTCGTAGCGTTTTATTGCTGAAGTGTCTTGGTTGTTATTTCTCAGGAATGTATTGCCAAGAACCATATAAGTAACGCTTTAAACTTCGCAATCTTTCTATTGTTTCTTTGTTACTTTCTCCAAGTCAACAGAATCTTTTAAGATTCACTTCAGTAATATTATTACACATGGAAGTTAGAAACTTTGGCATGAGTTTGATGATGATGGCATCCATAAATGTTCACTTTCAATTATCACAATAAACTAAAACTACCCTTAAACACAAATTTATATCAACCTGGTTCCTTTCTTTTTTTCTAAAAATAGAAGATTTTAAACTACTAATTATTACCACAAATCTTGATTTTTGCTTCAAACAAAAGATTAGGTTGATTAAGAAGCTATCTTTGGAGGCAATTCAAATTTGCCTTATCTGAGCTTCAGTCAGCTGAACTTGCCTGTTGGCCCTGCCATTCTTGACCCCTACCAGCCTTCGTTATTATCTTCAATCACACTCTCATCCATCCAAAAGAGAATATTAAATTAACACCTACCTCCCCTTTTCCCAAACTAACCATGAAAAACAACATATTCTCCTTAGTCAGAGAATGCTTTTTTACTAAAAGAAAATTGTTTGTGATGATACAGTAGTAGCTGTTTAATGGGTGAAAATGTCTACCAATTCTAGAATGTTGTTCTCTTGCTGCAATATTTTCATGTAACTTATTCTCTCTCTTCAATAATTGGTTGTGGTGCCTTTTATCTCTCTTTCATACGGTTTATATGGTTGGAATCTTATCCCAAGTTCTATTTTTTACAATTTGTTGGTCATTGGTATGTAATGTTTTGTTCTGAATTCATCTTTGACATATATTCTGATTATGCAGATGGGACTGACATTTTTATTACTTTAATGTTGGTTTCATGGAGTAAGATTCCTTATGCTGAACTTTGATGGCATGCTAGTGAGCTGCCCAGATTTCATATGGAAGAATTATCTGAACTGCATGATCACAGGGGCAGTAGTTTTCCCTTACCAAAGTTGGGTCCCGATGTTGTTAACACACCAAGAAAAGCTGGAAAAATGCTTGGTGGTAGTTGTGGTGGATTTTCTAAGAGAACAAGCGTTGGTCAAATAGAAGACACTATGATTTCAACTGGAGTTGATGACGTAAAGGATATGAAGGATAAGCCAGGGTGTAATTCTATAAAATGTAACTTATCAGGTTGTACCTTTTCTTCCCTTGTTTGGAAATATCACATTAATTTGATGTAGATTTAAGTCAGTCTAGTTAATTGCCTGATCATTAAGAAGGTTTTTGTCCCCCTAATGTTGCTTAATGGTCAAGTTGCCAGAGCTCATCTGATTCTTTTATGCTTTTGTTCTGTTGCATTTTAGTTTCCGAATATGTGGTTAATTTTTTATAGTTGGAACTTGGAATTATTTTAGTCAAATGTTGGAGATTATGCTGATTGTTTGTTTTCTCTTTTTTGTAAAATACATTCCAGATAAAACACAAGTGCCGAGACAAAAGAACAGCTTTAGTGGCAAGAGAGGTGACAGGAAAAATTTCAAAGTTCCTATGAAGCCGAAATCTGATTCTTTCTCCAAGAAGGGTGGTTTTGCAAGCTTTACTATGGCCTCTGGTGGGAACAACTTCCTTGGTATGTCATTGTTAACATGTATACTTTTTTAATGCTGAGTTTGATACAAGCCTAACCAATTTGTTGGTGATTGGCTGTATGATATCATCTATGCATTTCGTTTAAGTTAGCTACTGGTTGCATGTTTTTGTCTTTTTTGCATCATTCACCTTTGGGAACCGATTTCAGGATTATATGGACTGAAGTCTGATGATATAAATGATATCACCGAACTTGTAGAGGATTTATCATTAAATGAACTCCTTGATGGAAGATATGAGCATCCCATTTTAGGCAGCGAGAAGGATAAGAAAGCAACTAACACAACTGAAAATTTTCTACGTTCTGTTAAAAAGGTGTTCTCCATTCTTCCACTTCGAAGGGCCCAGTCCCACAATGTTGCAGATATACACAGTTCTTCCCACATGAAAATGCCCTCGTGTCCACTGAGCTCTGTTTCTATTTCGGCAAGTAGTGTCAATGGTGATAAAGAAGACACCTGTTCTGTAAACCCATCATCATGCAACAAGGTGAGTTTTTGAGCAAAAATCTATTATATTTGATCCTGAAATCAACCATAAATTAATTAAAGATATCGATACCTGTGATACTTAATAAAACACTTCTGCCCTATTGATAGGAGCCTTTAGTAATTTTCGTCTTCTCGTTATTTATCTCCTCTTTTTGCAACTTTTCTTGATGTCTTGGGTCCATACGGGAATTTTTTTTTGAATTTATGGACACTGACAAGTCATTAACTTTGTACTTTTATCTTGTTCCAATCCCAGGATTCATCTGGCAAGTCTGAAATGCCTGCCAGTCCTTCGGATTTTTCATTGTGTCAGCCCAAAGATATTTTGCAGTGCTTGGCGTTACCTCCACCGAAAGATCTGGACTCTTTACTTCTCGATGCAACCAAGCCTTCAACATCCACAAGGAACAATTCTGATTCTCGTTCAGGCAAGCAAATACTCCGCCGAGCTAGCTTGCCATCATTTCCTTGGTCACATACTCTTAACGGGTGCAGAATCAATCCTGATGCGGTTAAGCTCTTATCAAACAAGAGCATGTGCCAAGGGCGATGGGTAAAAGTACCAAACACTTCCAGTTCACCTGAGACTGCAACAGGTTGTTTTACCAACTTGGAATCACTTGCCTATGATCCAAGCCTGATTCCTTCCTTTCCAAAGTTTGGTAATTCAGAAGGTGAAATAGCATTGCTATCTGGTACTCTTTGTTTATGTGAACAGCGTGCAGCACCTCTTGCAACTTATGTCAAGGCTTTTAATGTTCCACAAGGTAACAATTTATTGAAGGGCAGCTTCCTGATCTGTCCCCGCCTAGAGATATGCTCTGATCTTTTCTGTAGAAGTCTTGGGACCAAAAAAACTCTAGGTCGAAATGTAGGGCATGTGGCATGAGATATTTTTTTACCTTTCTGTTGTTTGAACATAGACAAATTTATTACCATTTGGGTTCTCTGTCTGTCATTTCTCATATGTTGTTTCCTTTTTGGTGATAGTTGGGCACTGTCCAATAATATTGGCTGCAGCTCGAACGTTGTGTGACATTGCGACTAAACCCTTGAGGCAGAACCCAGATGGGATTATAAGGTGGCCAAAGAAGCCTTCACAAAAGGCCATGAAAGCTCGCAAGTCAAAATCAATTGAGAAATCGGATGAAGTATATGCGACGACTTCTTCATTGTTGGGATCTGACA